CTCCGTGGCATCCCAACAATTATTCCATTCACACACAGAAGAAGGCAATGGCAAACCACTTCTGGATCATCTGCCAAGAACGTATATGAACAGGTCCCAGTCCGAGAAAAGGATGGAAGGATCCTGTTCATAAAGTGTCGCCAACCTCCTGTAAAGAGACGGCGTGATAAAGAAGGAGAAATAGGATAAAGCGCGGACAGGGTGTGATGTTGACCACTCACCCTCATCTAGTACCGAGGTTGAGAATGAGTAGGAGCTAAACCTCCACTCCCCTGATCGCCGACATGAGGCGTAACAGGATAGCTTTACCTTTTTTATATCAAATGTCGCAGTTGTAATTGATGCTGCTTAAGTCCTTTACGCACAAGCGACTTGAGGTGGGTATATATTTTTTTGAACAGCGCGTAAGCCATCGTTTCTTTTATGATTCGTAGTAGCAATTATTGTCAAGCTGCACTTAACAAATAGGAGTTTGTTTGTTAGTTCGTGCATTTACTGAATGTAGTAGGCAGAATGTATTACAGAAACAGAGAAAGTATCAGAATAATAGCAGCATATATTTGTTTCCTAATTAGGATGAGGGGAGATTTTGTTTTGACTGCCTATCATCTTAGCTGGGACAAGGCATAATACGTAAGTCCTGGAGAAGAAAATGTTTCATGACCGCTGTAGGCCTAATTTAAGTTGTTGCAAGAAAACTGTCACGTCACCTCGCCTGAAGTAACAACTTTTAATATCCCGCCATCACACACGTGTATTTCTTAAACACACGGACAAACGCGTTATCTTATTAATTTCAAGGTTTTGAGATGCCTAAAGATGTGGTCCCCGGAGGGATGCTGAAGAATTAGAAACGTATGATTTATCTATAATCTAAACCAGTGGTATTCAACCTTTTATGTTCTCGTACCCCGAGATATAATTTATCTTCAACTTTGTACCCCCAAAGTTGTTGGTGTATAATTCAAGTTATACATAGTATATAATCTACATCTAAAATAAATTAAATAAATTACATTACTGATTATTCAGTGTTTACCATAAAATAATAT